CTGTCCTCCTCTCCTCCTGTCCATTGTCCTCCTCTCCTTCTGTCCATTGTCCTCTCCTCCTGTCCACTGTCCCTCTGTCCTCCTGTCCCTCTGTCCTCCTCTCCTTCTGTCCACTGTCCTCCTCTCCTCCTGTCCATTGTCCTCCTCTCCTTCTGTCCATTGTCCTCTCCTCCTGTCCACTGTCCCTCTGTCCTCCTGTCCCTCTGTCCTCCTCTCCTTCTGTCCACTGTCCTCCTCTCCTCCTGTCCATTGTCCTCCTCTCCTTCTGTCCATTGTCCTCTCCTCCTGTCCACTGTCCCTCTGTCCTCCTGTCCCTCTGTCCTCCTCTCCTTCTGTCCACTGTCCTCCTCTCCTCCTGTCCATTGTCCTCCTCTCCTTCTGTCCATTGTCCTCTCCTCCTGTCCACTGTCCCTCTGTCCTCCTGTCCCTCTGTCCTCCTCTCCTTCTGTCCACTGTCCTCCTCTCCTCCTGTCCATTGTCCTCCTCTCCTTCTGTCCATTGTCCTCTCCTCCTGTCCACTGTCCCTCTGTCCTCCTGTCCCTCTGTCCTCCTCTCCTTCTGTCCACTGTCCTCCTCTCCTTCTGTCCACTGTCCTCCTCTCCTCCTGTCCCTCTGTCCTCCTCTCCTCCTGCCATTGGCTGTGTGTGTGTGAGGGGGCGGGGCTGAGCTCTGATTGGCTGTCAGTTGTATAAAAGCAGAGAGACGTTGAGGAGAGTTGAGACAAATTTTCTTGGAGCTCAGGTACGTCTGTGATGTCACTTCCTCTTTTCTTCTCTCCTGTGAGTCGTCATCACTTTTTTACTTTTTCCTCTTTTTATGTTTTTAGTTTTTTTGTTGCTTCTTTTTATCGTTCCTTTTTCTTTTCACCTTCATCTCTCCTCCTCCTCCTCCTCTCTATTGTTTGTCTTGTCTCTCTCCTCTGACATCATCATCTTCTGTTCTTCCTCTTTTTCATTTTTCATATTTTTATGTTTTTATTTTCCTTCTTTTCTCGTCTCTGCTTTTCTTCCTGTTCTTCATCCTCCTATTCCTCTTCTGTTATCTTTATTCCTCCTTGTCCTGTCCTCCTTCCTCCTCTGGTTTCTGTCGTTCTTTTCCTTTTTTATTTTTCTGTTTTTTTTTCCTTTGTTTTGTCTCCTTCTTCATCGTCTCCTCTCTTCTTCATTGGTTGTTCTCATCTTTGATTTTCCTCCTCCTCCTCTTCCTCTGTGATGTCAGTGTTTCTTCTTCTCTGACAGGAGGTCTCACACCATCATCCATCATCATCATCACCATCATCATCATCATGGCCGACTGGACAGACTGTCTGAACTTCGGCATCTCCATCGCCAAACAGGCCAGTGAGGTAAGCAGCACGCCGACCAATCACAGCGCAGCGCTGAATGAAAAACAACAACACCATAAAATGTGGCGTGACGCCGCTGATGTAAACTTGTTTCACATTTCACAACGCTCAGATTGATAAAAAATCATTTTAATATTTTTCATCCTGGAATTAAAAAAACTTTATTGAACTGTTCAAACATTTAAATCTGATTTTAAACTTTATTATTTTCTAAATGAAACTCTGAAAAGCATTTTGTTGCTGTTTCCTGGTTGAATGACGCGTTTGTTTCCTGTCATTTGGTGGGTTGTTGGAGGTGTCAGCCAATCAGCAGCGACGTGTTAATGAACCAGATTCTGGCTGGTCTTTGTTTCCCAGGATGTAAATAAAGTTTCTTTGAGTCAGTCTGCGTTCTTGTTTGTACTTGTGACACGTCATCAGTCGCAGCCCAAGTACTGTTCCAACTCAGAGTCCGCATCCAGCCAGGTACAGGCGCTCTGCCCGTTCCATCGGGGATGCATCGGGAGGTGACTCGTGTGGACTTCTGACAGCCAGGTATCTCAGAATGCATTTCTCACAGACCAGCGGCAATGGCAGCCGTCCTTGAGAGTTTGTACTCCTGAGTCGAACTTCCCAAGTCTGAAGTCCGAACTTGCCGTACTTGGTATTGAGAAACGCCTAAAGTCTCAGTGCTACAGACTCCACAGGATGTTTAAAAAATGTCAACCAATCAGCTGCAGGCGATGATGTCACGTTCAGGTTGGATAAAAACGTTTAGGAATGTAAAGAGTTTTTGTGTCTTAGCAGCTGACCTTTAAATGACCTTCACCTGGTAACTCAGGTACACACACACCTGAGACACACACACACACACACACAC